ATTGCTGAGGATGGCTCAAAATTGTTAGCCGAAACGTCCAAATTAGTGTAATAATATATGTTATAAATATAAGATAATTTTACGCAACAAATATCTAGCATTGACTCCAAATGCCCATGGTTGTTTATACATTAGTTTATACATTTAGTTTAATTAAGTTAATTTTATTATCTAAAAATTAAGAGTGTAGTGTAAGAAATTTAGAGGAAATGGGCATAACAGAGAAACTATCAGCGTCGAGGCTGTGTAGCTCAGTGGCAGGTCGGAAGTCTACCAACTCGGAGGAGAGACCAGGCCTCGGTTCAAGACTCGGAGCGCCCTGATATTTTTCTCGTGTTGCTGTTTATTTCTTACAGTAATTTGACCACGTTTACAATTGACCACCTATTCACAACGCTTGAACAGTGGAAAATATTTTCCAGGGATCAGTTTCTGTGAATGGATGTGATCATTTTATTTTACTTTTAATACAACCTGAAATAGTCCTGAAATCATCCAGAAAGTCCTAAAATAGTCCTGAATATATCCTAAATTAATCCCCGATAATACCACAATGGATGTCCAACGGATGTATGTGGGACATAATGAGGCGCTCATGTCATAGTCCATAGGACGTCCTTGGACTACAATAGGACATCTTGTGGACGTCCCGTTTAGCCGGCAGGACGTCCACAGGATGTCCATAGGACGTCCCTGTGTTATTAAGGAAATAGAACGACTTAACGGCAATTTCATACAAAACTTATTGCACATAGAACTTAATGACTCTTATAAACATCTATCCTTTGTTCAACGAGATCTTTACAAAAATTATAGATCAATCAATACATCACTCTCTTTTTATATCTGTAATGCTTTTTTCCGTCGTCAGGAAATTAATTTTAATAGACTATGGGATAAAGAATATTGTAATATTAACAGAAAAATACGTATCTTGAGTCAAATTACGGACAAAAAATAAAAAATAAAAAATATAAGTTATAATATCGCTTTACAAACCTAGTATTAATGATTTACAGAATGCGTTTAGTCCGATGAAAATAAATAAAATTTCAATATAGGATGTTCGCACAAACAATTTGATTGTTACTCATAAAATCAACGTTAAGCCTAACAATTTTGAATTTGATTATAAACTTAACAACACTAACAATAACTGGTTAATCAATCTTAGCAGCACTGACATTCCCGAAAATGCAAAGTTCATTTTACAGTTGGGTCAACGTTTTAATTTACCCAATAATGTCATTAACAAAGAACAAACTAAAATAGAATTTGTCAAACATATAGAAAATGACATTAGTATGTGTTTGCTCTGAGGAAGGCTCAAAAATGAGTCGAAACATGTAAGCGCGTTTAGTGAATAAAGAAGTTTCATTCTTTATAAGTGTATTATTTGCGCGACGTCTTCTGCGCCCGACTCCTAGTGCCCTTACTTTTTCCAATTCTTTGAAAATAACATTATTAAATTAGATGAAAAAATTAAGAATTCTATTAGAAAGAATGCCATTCCTATTCTTAATAATATACAATTTAGTTATCCAAATAATTTGATAAAAAACGGTCTTAAAGAACTTAACAGATTTGTGACTGAGCATCCTGAGATTCCAATCACTAGAGCGGGCAAAGGAAATTCCACGGTAATTTTAAATCTAAACGACTATAATAATAGTAAGATGAACAAAATTTTGGCTGACGAAAGTACTTATATGGTTGTTAATAAAGATCCCAACAAATAAAATGACGACAGAAATTCGCACACTTTTGATACGATGGAGATCTAAAGACTATATAGACCAATCTACTTACAAAAATATGTATATTTCAGACGGAGACTGTCCAAGATCGTATGGGCTGGTCAAGGTTCATAAGGAAGATTATCCTTTGAGAATAATAGTTAGCTGCACTAACAGTCCATTTTTTAATCTGGCTACTTTTCTTAAGGACATAATCGATAGGAGTCTCAGAAGAAACTATGGGTACATACAAAACAGTTTCGAACTAGTTAACAAAATTAATGATTTACCAATAGAAGAAAATTATAAAATTGTATCTTTTGGCATTACATTTATGTACACAAATATTCCTAATGATTTGACTCTTGACAGCATTTTGAAAAGATGGAATTGCATAGGTCGTAATACTACAATACCAAAAAATGAATTTAAAATTGCTATTTCAATTATTCAGAATTCTACGTTTTTCAAATTTAATGATACATTTTTTAAACAAATCTTTGGCCTACCTATGGGATAGCCTCTCTCTCCAATTTTAGCGGACGTTGTGATACAGGACTTGGAATCGAACATTTTCAGTTCACTTACCATGCATATTCCTCTTTATCATCGTTATGTTGACGACATAATTATAGCATTGTCAAAAGATCAAATTAATTTCATTCTAAGTTCTTTCAATTCATACCATGAAAGAATAAAATTTACTGCTGAACATGGCGATGATGGAGGGGATAAATTTTCTCGATGTAAAATTATTAATAGATGTTTGATTTATTTGTCTCATGATTCTGTTCAAGAAATTGGTTTAAATTGTCTGCGTTGAACTCTATATTGTTTTTTTGTCAATTAAGGCGCCTCAAGCGTTCATGTAGAGAATTAGAATAAAAAATGGCCACAACGTCCACGAACGTGTTTTTTCATTGCGGAAGTAAATCCAGCCTAAACAAAACATTGGTCCTTCGAGCCGGATATAAACAGTGAGACAGTGAAAGCAATCACTCAAAGAAGCAGAAAGGCATGTAAGCCTTAACGAAATTCGTCCAAAGTTCAAACGAGAAGTGTGCAAATATACGGGCAAGCTTAGCTCGGCAGAAGCAAGCATATATTCATGGGCGGTGAGACAACAAACTCATCAAGCTTTGGATAGAGCATCAAACCAACATAAGCAAATCCAAAGCAAACGGCCATCCAGAGAGACAAGGAAAGAAGAGGCAGAAAAGAGCGGTAAGCACAACCGACACTTTCGCCCTTCAACCAATCCTTGGCGTCCATCAAGGACAAAGAGCTGCGTGAGCACCGGTAATGTTACCGACGGAGGATCCACAGTCGATAAGGTCATCAACAACTAGTCCTTGGCGTCCATCAAGGACAACGAGCGAGCCATTACCGACGGAGGATCTGTGGTCGATAAGGGTTATCAATCAATCAACTCTTGGCGTCCAACAAGGACAGCGGTCGTAGCGAGGATATTACTGAGCGAAGATCTACAATCAAGCAACTCTTGGTGTCCAACAAGGACAGCGGTCGTAGCGAGCATATTACTGAGCGAAGATCTACAATCAATCAACTCTTGACGTCCAGCAAGGATTACAACGGCGGAATATCGAGCGCAGGACAGTAGGAAAGTAAACGGGCCTTCCTCTTCTTCACACCGTCTTCCTCATACCCCTATCCATATTTTCTAGCGCTTCACAAAGTCTACCCGTTTTTTTTTACACTAATTATTTGGAATTGACACTACGATTTCTTTTCAGTTTGTTAATTTATCTAACCTATAAAAAATGGAATCGCTAAGCGCTCTTAACAAGAGGCGAGGGTCGCTTAGAATGAAAGTAACCTGTTTCCAAAATTTCCTTAAAGCTGCGGCATCAAAATGTTCTGGTGATAATCAAACGCTAGATGAGACGACAAAGGAGGAAATTAGTCAGCGCCTCAGTAGGCACATGAATATTTTGGAATTCTATGAGGACATACAAGGTAGCATAGACGTAATTACAGAGGACCCTGAGGAAACTATCGGGTATCGTGAGCAGTTTGAATCAGAATACTACGAGGCCATAAAGACGGCTAATAGTTTGATAGGTAAGTGCCATCCAACAAGGGTAGATTCGTTCGCGGAGACAAATTTTGCGCAGTCTAATGGTCAGCAACGCAATGTGATTGAAAATAGTTTCGAACAACTCCAGGTGCAAGCGAACACGCAAGTAGCTCAGCACAGCAACCTTTCGTCATCTAATTCCGCGGGCGTTACATTTACGGGTTAGAGCAACGTTCCGGGTGTTAAACTACCAGGCGTCAAATTACCAATTATAGAATTGCCTAAATTTAAAGAGGACCTATCAGATTGGCTAAAATTTCGTGACACATACAAATCTCTCATTCACGACAATCAGAGTATTAGTAACATACAAAAATTTCATTATCTGATGGCCGCGTTGGAAGGCAGCGCGGCACAAATACGAGGTGTGATCAAAAAGTAAGGTGACTTTTTATTTTTATAAAAAAATATTCATTTATTCATCCAATATTATGTTATCCCCTTCAAAATAATCCCCCTCTGATACAATGCACTTGTGCCAGCGCTTTTTCCAGTCGTCAAAACACTT